TTCTCTTTTCCAAAACTGGAGACACCTCGTTTTGTTCCTTTGAGTCTGACTCGATAGAACATGTGTGGGTGAGCAACAGCATTCACAGCTGCACGCAGTAAATCAGTCACTGATATGTTCTTTCCACGAAAATATTGGTGTTTATGCAAAAAAAAAAATTTCTAGTGTCCACTGCCTACACGCATCCCTTCTAAAACAGCATCCTTACTCAAACAGAACCTCACACATGTGGCAGCAACTCTGTGTGTCATACAAATAGCGCAGGTGGCCCCAAAAGTTGCACACTTTATAACCACAACTAAACATATTTGACATGAAAAATCTTTTGCACATTATTTACAAGCTTTTTGAAACACTCAGTATTGCATATACAGTACAGTGTAATCAATGCCTAAAATGTCTGATAGTCACAATAGATAACAAAATATCAAAGCACAAAATACAGTACAAACAGTAATAATGTGAAATAGGGATGCTCCGATCAGGATTTTTGCAGCCGATACGGAGTACCGATTTCTTATCATGGTGATCGGCCGATACCGATGCCGATTCTGATGCTTCAAGCTAAAGTTAAAGTTAAAGTGATGAGTTGACTGAAGTTGGGCTCAGGTGGTTGTGCTGTGGGATGTGTTTCCCATACATTTATTTATTGGTGGCGCTCACCACAATATCAAAACTGACCGATTTTCCAAAAGGCTTCATTGAATAAACATGAGCACGTACCGCACGATTAAAAATCAAAAACAAGGCGCGGGTGTTTTTATATCACTGTATTTCTGAAGGAAGACTATCTTTAGAAAATGTTCAATGTCATTTTCATTTCATCTTGCATGTTATATGCCTGATAAAGCAGAGTTTGTGAGCTCAGCACTGCTGTTACTGGGGAAACCTCTGTTTCTCCCGCTTTAAAATGCATTCTGATTACTTGCGGGTGGATAAAATAAATCATAAATGATGCAAATATTAACAATTTTTTTCATGAGGCAGACGATTTCGCGCAATTTTCTATTTTGATGAATAGAAAGTTGCAAAATACAGTAGAAACAGAAATCTTTTGTAACATTAGAATGTCTCTACTGTCACTTTAGATCATTTAATGTGTCCTTTCAATAGAAAAGTGTTAATTTCTTAAGAAATAAATCAAATGAGTTCTGACCTGTCTGGTTGCTGTAACTAAAGCGTAGATTGAGAGACGTC